TATTATTCTATCTAGTTTATTGTTGTGTGTACTTTATTATTCTATCTAGTTTATTGTTGTGTGTACTTTATTATTCTTTGTACTATATTATTCTATCTAGTTTATTACTATCCGATTCTAGTTATTAAATTTTTATATATATCAGATCTGATATATTTATACCATTTTTTTAGCTATTTTAGATAATAAAGCTATAACTTTTGTATAGGTATACTAGAGAATAAAGCTATAAAATTATATAGGTATACTAGAGAATAAAGCTATAACTTTTGTAGAGATCTAAGAGATCTCTTATAAATTATATAAACATCAGATAAGAGATCTCTTATAAATTATATAAACATCAGATAGATCTCTTATAAATTATATAAACATCAGATAAGAGATCGTTACAAAATCTGTTTTAGATATAATATACAAAATCGTTATACAATTTATAGTAGTATAGAATAGAGATATAAATTTTGTATAGATAAAAGATCGTTATAAAATCTGTATAGAGACAGAATATAGTTATATATTTATGAAAGATAATTTATTAGTGAAATATAGCAGAGAATATCCGATTCGAACGGATGTGGTCTTTCAACCAAATAAGTTTCAAGCTTATCACTTTAAACCACTCAGTCAATTCTCTTTTTGGTTTGTAGCAGTCTATGAATAACAATTCTACTAATTAGTAAATAAATGTATGCAAAAATGATTTTATTTTTAAATAAACTTATTAAACAAATGTATCAAATAACGAATGTTAAAAGTGTATTTAATAGTTAACTACTGTAAACCATTTTTATTTTTTCCAAAAGAAATCTATATTTGTAACTATATCGTAAAAATGGATCATAGCTATTTGAGGGTTTTTCCCTAGTAATTTCGAATAGTCGAAATTACGTCGAAAAAAAAAAAAATAAAAGGAAAAATTGTTTACAATAAAAGATAGCTCTATTTCTAGTAAAAGTTACTTATAATACAATACAGCTATTTAATACAATACAACACAGCCATTTAATATCATACAATACAGCTACTTAATACAATACAACACAGCCATTTAATATCATACAACACAGCCACTTAACATAGCACAGTACATCTGGTTACAGATAGTAAACAAATTTTCTTAGTTATACTACTAACTTTTTATTGTTAGTACAAATTTTCTAATTATCAGTAGAAATTTTCTTATTAGTAATACAATATTCTATTAACAGAAAGCAAAATATGGTTTTCATTGTTACAATACAAGTGGTACAATACTGTATTAATCAAAAAAAAGATAAATATTGTTTTCATCCTTACAGTAGAAGTGCGTACAAGACTCGAACTTGTAAAAACATGTCCGTAGCATGTCATTATACCAATTTAACTAACGCACCTTATTGATTCCTCAACGAATTGAACGTCGATCACATCCTTATCAAAAATGCGCTTTACCTATTAAGCTAAGGAACCTTAAGTATATATACTAGTTAACAATTAAAACGATTAAAAGATTAAAGTAAAACTATAATAAAAGATTAAAAAAAAAAGAATAGTAAGTCATACAGTATTTAGAACATTATCTTATACCAAGAGCATCCAGACTTGAACTGGAAATTTGAAGTTTGAAGCTTCCTATTTTACCAATTAAACTATACTCTTTTTACTATTACTAATAACACCGTATCTAAGATTGAACTGTATTTTTACTAAGATGCTTACAATTAAACTACACTAATTACATCTTAATAACAGTAACAAATAATAGTATATTAATAATGTTACTCTAAAAAAAATGCACAAAACATTATGTGGATAATGTTAAAGTAATTTATATAATACTATTAAGTTATGATCTATCCTTGATGAATACAGATAGTTAGCTATTTGTTATAGCTACATTAACCTTTTTCCTGTACAATTCATTTTTTTGATTAATCCCTTAAATAGCTGTTATTCTTTTTTAGAAGAGTGGCTATTAAAGACTTAATATTCATTTTTACAATATACTACATAAATGTACTAAATTAACAACGATTAAGCTATTAAAATTATATATAATTTATATTCTCCGTTTAACTATGTAAATTTCTTTTTTTACTATATTCGGAAAAGAGTGGATTTGAACCACCAGGTGTTAAACACAATATTTAGCAAATATCTCGCCTTACCTATAGCAACTTTTCCTTTTTACCTTTTATTATCTAACCTATTTTTTTTTACATGTAATACTTTTAATTATAGAATTAACGTTAATTATAGAATTACGGTTAACCATAACAAGTTAGCCTAACAATTTAGGCTAACAATAAAATTACTGCTAACCATATAATTCAACTAAATTATAAAATAAAAAAGTACGAGTTAGACCGGGCTTGAACCGATATCTACTTTCGTGACAAGAAAGTCCTTTACCATTAAGTTACTAACCCTATACGGCCAACCGAAGTCGAATCGGTACACATCGTTTGGAAGACGATTGGACTAACCATTATCCTATAGCCGTATATTATTTTTTTTTCTAAGATCTAAGGGATTTGAACCCTTATGAGAATGATTAAAAGTCATACGCTTTACCATTAAGCTAAGATCTCTATAAATATAAATACTTATATAATAAGTACTAAGAAATAAGTGATTTGAACACTTAACCTGCCGCGTGTAAAACGGATGCTCTACCAATTGAGCTAATTTCTTTTGTTTTTTTTTCTTTTTTGTTTTGTTTTTTTCTTTTTTGTTTTGTTTTTTTTTTCTTTTTTTGTTTTTTTTCCTTTTGTGTTTTGTTAGGTTTTACAAAAGAGAAAAAAGATAAAGGAAAGACGTTTTATCGTTTTTATTCGTTATTATTTTGCATCTGTTTGTGGTTTTAGCGTAATAACGATTGCACCGACCATCGCTAGTAATAATATAATAGATGTAATGATTAATCATATAGAATAATTACCATATAATATATTACCTATGCTTGTTATATGAGAAGTTTCTGCTAAATATCCATCTCATGACACAGATGTTACATTCGTTAGTTTTTTTTTAATCGTAAAATGATATAGTAAGTTATTAGTCATTACCATATATGGTAAAACATTATTAACGAAGTAATTAAAGAAACTACCTATTAATATAGCTAGAGGTATACTATTAATACTGTCTATTAATAGCTCAGATATTCTAACATTTATTAACATTAATATAAATAAAAATAATATAGATACAGCCCCTACGTATACTAATAAATAAGCTAGCCCTATAAAGTTTAATCCTGTTAGAATTAAATAAGCAGATATACATAAAAATAAAGCTATTAAAAATAAAACAGATACAATAGGGTTTTTACTTATGATAACGAATATACCTAATAAGATAGCAATAATATACAATAAATCTAAGTTAACTGCATTATAACCATTAAATGTCATTTCATTAACTATATACAACATAAAAATTTGTTAATTACCCTTTTCATGACAAGAAACAGCTCTATCTTATTAGAATTATACTTATTGTAGAATAGAGCAGTATTATACTATCCGTTAGCCCGCCCATCCATTTTTACAGTTACATACTTCCGTATAAGCCTATAAGTATGGATAGATTGTTTGAAATAAATTACTTAACCGCTAATAAAGCTACTTTACCTACACACTATAACAAACTTATTTTTCCTATACACTAATAAAGGTTATTTCCCTATACAATAATAATGGTTATTTCCCTATACATTACTAAAGGTTATTTTCTTATACACTATAACAAAATAACTCTTTTCTATACTTTATAAAAAGTAAATAGAGGATTAACTAGTAATAATCCTTAATTTTTCGTAAAAGTCTATATAGATTAGGTCAAAAAGTTGTAAAGGTGCCGGTTATAAGCCGCTCTATATGCCAAATATAAGCCTTTAAAATGAATCGAACATTTATCAAAATATTAACAGTATTCCGCTCTACCATTGAGCTATAAAGGCTATTATATAGTATAACAGCTATATAAACGCTATATAACAGCTATATAATCATTAGCTATATACCAATTCGCTCTATAATGATTAGCTATATAGCAAATAACTGTATAAGAATCGCTTTATAAAAAATTAACTCTATAATAATTAGCTCTATAAATTAGCTATATAGTTAGTATAAATAATTATTATTAGGAGACAAGAGATTCGAACTCTTAAAAGCGCATAGCTATTGAGTTTACAGCTCAACCCTTCTTACCAATAAAGGAACTCTCCTTTTTTTTTTTTTTAAATTCCTTTTTTCTTTGACCTAGACCTTTTCTTTATCCGAAGAACGACTTGAACGTTCACGACATAACGTCAACAAAGCTTAAATTTGTCCTGTCTACCAATTCCAGCACTCGGATTTCTTTTTTTTTTCCCTAAATAAATTTACGGCTTCGCAGCCCCAGTCTTCCAGACGATGTCTGGAAGACGCCGGGGCTAACAATAAAGAATTTTTTTTTTTTTTATTAAAACGATTTTTTTTTTTTAAAGATAAATAAGTTAAGCCTACTTTATAACGTTTTATTCAAAAACCGTAGCATAGAAAGGGTTATATTAAAAACGAAATAACTAGTAGATAAGGTTTATTGAAAAAACAAAATAGCTAATAGATACCAATATACATTAGTTATGAGCCTGTCTATGGATTCGAACCATAGAACTAGATAAAACTTTATGCTCCTTGCACAGACTTTTTTTTTTGGGTGTATCGTTAATATTAATTATTCCCGGGCTAGTTCCCCAACCCGAACCGTATTTCGACTTAACACCAATTAGAGTCACGCATACGAAGATGTTTCTGCCAAAAGATCTAAACCTGTATAGTTAGACTAGCAATCCGCAGCCACCAAACTTATTGCACATACTCCTTTCAGCGCCTGACGAGTGGTTAGTACCTATCTGAGATAAAATTCACCGTGATGTGATTACTCACGATTACTAGTAATTCCTTTTTCATGCAGTCGAATTTCAGACTACAATCCATACTTTATCCTCTTTTAGGGGATTAGCTCCAATTCGCATTATTGCATCCCTTTGTAAAGGCACATGTGGCACGTCTATAGCCCACAATATTAAGGCCATGATGACTTGTCTTAGTCCCTATTATCACATCCAATTGTAAGCGGAGAACTGCTTTATACTAGTAAATAAAGCAAGGGTTTACGTTAATTTAATGGACCTAACCAAATCTCACGACATTAACTGAAGACAGCCATGCAACGCATGTGGTCTACAAATAGCTCATTTCTTTGGAAAACCCAAAGGTGTATACTATGTTGTAGGTCATTCAAATTGTGGTAAGGTTATTCGAGGATCATCGAATTAAATAACATACTTCACTACTGGTTTCAGAAACGGTCTAATGATTTCAGTTCCTGCGTTGCCACATTACTCTTGAGGTGGAGTGCTTCCACTTTCATTTATAGTTCGACATAAAGCCAACCTATGGCACTCATCATTGTCTGCCCAGGCTACGGGGGTATCTAATCCTCTTCACTCTCTGAGCCTTCGTCCCTCAACGTCAGTTATAGTATTTTTTACTTTTACTTATTTCCCTTCGGAAATATTTTTTTTAGTAAAAGAGCTTATAGTTAACCCCACACTGGGGGGTTATCCCCTTAAGGGTTAACAATAATAAAAATACATGTACATAGAGGTTTGCCTTCGCCGTTATCAGTCCTATTGGTATTAGCAAATTTCATCTCTCCACCAATAATTCTGACATATTCCTCTCACATATCAAACTCAAGTGTAACAGGTACTTATTTAAGCCTTTGTACACCGTCTAGGTACCCTATATACCTGTTAAAGATGAATAACACTCGTCTCCCTTGTCTTACCGCGACTGCTGGCACAAGATTTGGTCGAGACCTATGGATATAAAGTTTTCATAATAAGCTTTATCCAGAATTTTATAAGACCTAGTCAAGCAAGTTAATAAACTTATTATATTAACTCTCATTCCTGCAAGTTGCTGGTTCAGCCGTTAGGCCATTGACCAAAATTCCTCACTGCTGTACTACACGCACTGGGGTTTTTTCAGACCCAGTGTGGTCAATAGACCTCTCAGTCCTGACTACGGACACAAGCTAAGTATGCCATTACCATACTTACTACTTATCCGATGGTTATTAATAATCAACTAGGAGCGAAATACTCTTTCTTTTAAACCACATTTATTATAACTATTAATAATAATAAATTGTTCTTATAAGGGATTTATTTTGCCTTACTCCTAGGTAGCCATAATACCAATTACTCACCTGTACACCACTTCAATATACATAATTCAAAAAAATTAAATATTGACGTTCGATTAGCATGTGTCAAGCATTTGCATAGCGTTCACTCAGAGCCATCATCAAACTCAAATAATATTAAAAACCACAAACCCTATCTATTATAAAAATATAAAAGAATATTTTTCTTTACGATAGCTTACATTTTTGTTTTTTTTTATGTTTTTTTTTTTCTTTTTTTTTATATTTTTCTTTTTTTATTTTTTCTTTTTTTTTTATATTTTTCTTTTTATATTTTTTCTTTTTCCTATTAAAAAAATAGTAAATAACATTGTATTTGTCATAGCTAGTTTTTTATCTAAGACTCGAACTTTAATTTATATAGTAGGAAAACTTTATTATCCAGTTGTAAAATAATAAAATTTACTTTACAACATAGAAATTGTTAATTATAAAAATAATTAACAGCAATTTTCTATAGCTCTATATTCTTATCTAAGATTCGAACTTAGATTCAGATATTAGAAGTATCTTGTTCTACCATTAAACTAATAAGAATCTTTAAAAACAGTTATTTATATACTTATTATAAAATATAAATTGTAAAAAGGGTTTTACCATAACACAACTTTTTACCCAGAATTCTTTTTTTTTTAAATTATACCCATTACATTACTACTAATTTCTATATAGCTAAAGAAAAAAACAAATTCTTATTGTTTTTTACTCTTTTTTATAGCTAAAGAATTGTTTTTACTCTTTTTTATAACTAATATATTATCATACCCATTACATTACTACTAGTTTCTATATAGCTTAAGAATTTTTTTACTTCTATAACTAGTAATTAAATATATCCATTACATTACTACTAAATTATATATAGCTAAAAGAGAAAAATTTAAAAAACTATTAAAAATTCTCCTAAATAATTAGAAAATCATTCTAAATTATTAAAACTTACAAATAATTCCTAATTCCCAATTGCTAATTCCTACTGTTGGTGTTATTTCTAAATTATTAAAACTTACAAATAATTCCTAATGTTTGTATTATAGCCTTACTTTTCTCCCTATGTAGAGCCAAGACTCGTTATGTTAATTTACCAATTTACCTATTTACCTAGCTTGCCCTTGCTTAAATCTACTTTTATTTCTTTACTTCGAAGAAAACAATATCAACTTAATGATAAGAGTAAAAAAAGAAACTGACAAGACTACATAAGAATTGAGCACACCACCGAAGAATTACAAAACATATAAGGAATTATTTTACTATCAAACCGGTATGCAACTCCCTAGAGTTTTCCAAACAAGAATGAACGGGTCTGTAGTATTATAGCCCCTCTCGTATTAGCACAAATAATAGTTAAATAAAGAAGTAAAGTACTTTAGCTCTCCCCGCCTCTCTTTTTAAGCGTAGGTAAAATCCATAGAGAACAAAATCTGAAA